GTGACATGCCGAAGATTACGTATACAGAACTTACCTATTGTAGAGAATACGATTTTGGTTTTGGGGGAGGACTGAAGGTGGGGGTGGGGTGTAGGTTTGAATGGGCGCTTATTTTATATTGGGTTTGGGTGAGAGGTTTGAGGTTTGAGGTGGAGGTGGAGGTGGAGTTTGGGTTAGAGAGGTAGAGGTAATGTATTCTTGTGGAGTGGGATGGGATGGGTTGGGATGGGGTGGAGTAGACTATGGAGAAAGGATTTGTCACTGTGTATGTATGTATTTTTCTGGGTTAGAACTTACATTTGAGCTGAATAAGTGAGTATTTTCATTTACTGAGAAAAGTGTGAGACCCGCTCGCCCTCTCTCACCTAGATTTGTGAAATTCAGATTGGAACCATGGTAGAGAAATTGAGAGATGAGAACCGAGCGAAAGTAGACTTCAATGGTTGGTTATGACATGATTGTAATCGAGAAACTAAATAGATATTGTTCATAGATGAAGAAGAAGAACAAGAGGAAGTAGGAGTGCGTAAAAGATTCATCAAAAGCCTCGTAACCCAAATAATCCCAATTTCTACTGCGTATAGTAAAATCACTCCTCCGAAGCCGTCATACCTTCCAAAACCCAAAAAGAACCCTATAAAAAAACAAAAGAAGACCAAACCAAACCAACAAAAACCAAGAAACAAACCCCCAAAGAGTATACCAAAAGCAACCTCACACACCACCCCTCTAACACAAAAACCCCGTCCGACCCAAAGCCAGCAAACTCCATTTCGCATGAGCATGCCCCTCACCAAAAAGTTGCACCTGCCCCTCATAAGCGCGGGAATGCCAAGAAGCGGCCTCCGCCATCTCTCCTCTCCCTTCATAACACAACGCCAGCGAATTCATCGCCCACAATGTATCCGCATGCATACACCCATGAACTTGCATCCTCTGCTCGAGAACGCGTGTACGAACTTCAAATGCTTCGTCTACTCGTCCTAGTTGGGCAAGACAGCGCGCTGTGTCGGAGAGAGTCCAAATGGCGTGTGGATGGAGGGGTCCCAGGGTACGTACCATGGAGTTGTAGGCTTGAGTGTGCAAGACGAGTGCTTCTTGGGGGAGACAGGGGGTGCGGTGAGGAGAGCGGTAGCACCGTGCGAGTGCGTTTTGGGTCCAGATTATATGGTGGTCTGTGGGTGGGAAGAGGGGTTCTAGAGTACGCAGGGCGCGGAGATGAAGGGATTCGGCTTCGGAATGTTTTTGCAGGTGTCGACACACGCGGCCGAGTTCGTTGATGGTGATTATTATGTCGAGGTGGTCGTGGGGGAGGAAACTAGAGAGATGGTTAGTGCATAGTAGATTTAGAGATGACTGAGATTTACCGGAGTTGTACGGCTAGAGCTTGACGCTGTATAGCTTCCGCGAGACGAAATCTTCCTTGCTGATCGTAGAGAATCCCAAGACTATTTAGTAGCCACGCCTTTGAGGCTTTTCCTGAATTGGTACCTCCAGTCTTTGTAATCTCTTCCTCGAAAACACGAACTCCCATATCTATTTGACCACTCATAGTATACAGCCTAGCCAAGTCTCGGATGATCATGGATCTCTCAAAGTTAGAGATAACGTTAATACTACCGGGTCCTCCTCGACGTTGTGATTGTATGAAATCGTCTAGACGAAACAAAGCTTTTTGAATATCCATCAAATCTTCCGCGGATTGTTTTCCAAGGATACCGGATTGGTTTGTCCAGGTTTGAACTAGTCTTTGAAGTTTTGCAATTCGATGCATGGGAAATGGTAGATCTTCTGATAATAATGATCTTGTAATCCAAGCCGATCTCCTAGTTTCGGATGCAACGAACTTTTCGTATTGTCGATGAAGTTTAAAGTCGTACACAGATAATGATAGATGATAGCACCAATTTTCCGTAGCATATTTTGCTAAAGGATATTGCTGTGAGTTTAGATTAATCGATTCGGCGATCCCAGATTTGCTTAGGTACGTCAATGTTGCTTGGGCTAGCCCAAGATGCGAGTATTTCTCTTCGAGAAGAAAGCCAGCTGCTTGAGGCGACAACAAGATGGAATTCGAGCGATCGTGAAGATATTCGTAGACTGATAAATGCCCAAGGTTAAACGTGTCGGATTCGGGTCTATACTCAACCAAAGGACAACAAACTTCTAGCACCGAGTCCTTGGAAGGCGCAATATTTCCATCAAAAATCGTCCTTTCTTCGTCCCAAGATAAAGCACACTGTAATTCAAGCCAGTTGAGAGGCCTTGAAGTTCTACATACCCAATGGAAAATGCGACGTGCCAAAGATTGATTTGCAAATGGTTTTGATGCTAAGCGTTCCAGAATTTGTCCGTACACATTGTAAATTCCGGTAGGAAGTTTGTCCAGTGAAGATAGCATATCCTGAGTATTAAATGTTGCTTGCAATGTTTCCATTCCAAGTCGTGCGAATAGAAACATGCCTGCCGCCTTTTGGGATAGCACATTATACACATACTGTTTTAAGTGAGATTCTGTACAAGGAAGAGTCTCAATTGCCTCTCTTAAATACTGTTCAATATCTGACTGAACAGCATTCGTATTGATGTGGACAGAAGGGAAAATGCCCAATTCTTTGCGCAAGGGAAGAATATCTCGTGAGAAGAATAAAAGGCGGATAGAGTTGCGATCTTGGGAAATACCATTCAGCAGGCGCAAAATACCTAGCATATCTTCGGATTCACATTCGTCAAGTCCATCTATGACGATGTTAAGTGCTGGTAAGGCACGAAGCACTTCTGCGAGCAATTCCGGGATCCTGTCGGCAACGGAGATGCGACATCGTCCGTATCTTTCAGCGAAGAGATATGCAGATATTAATGCCTGTGGAATACTGGTTGCGTGTGCTGTGATTTGACCTAAAAGGCTGATATATATGGATTCCTGGGATTGTTTTAACTTGTCTGTTGAGCTGCAGTGAAAGTATATTGTGGGAATGGAGCCATAATAATCCTGTAAATACTGAATAGCGGTGGCACTGAGAATCGTTTTCCCACACCCTGGAGAGCCATAGCACCACAGTACCGAATCTGACAGCCCGTTCAGCCAATTTTGAAAGCTTGTGTCAGTAAGAAGCCATTGACCTGTATTTGAGGATCTCTTGGCACAAGCTTGATGTAAACTCTCATAATAATCACCTGGGTATAACCAAGTCATTACTTGTGTTCTGATATCTGCATCTGGATTATTCATCAGCATTAGCTTCGGTAGTTTTTGCGAATCATTTAGTCGGATTTACGAACCCTTGTTCTCTGGAAGGAAGGAAATCCCCATGATGACATTTTCACTTGCCTGTGGTTGCTTCACGGCACAAAATTCCATATACTGTTCATACGCGAGTGTAGCTTCCTGGGAAAATATTTTGACAGCCTTCGAAAGCCGTCGAACATACTTAGTAAACTCTGCATCAAGAGACTTTAGAACTGTGCGTTCAAGCTTAAATGCTTAAACTGGTCAGATAACGTAATTGCAGGAGTTGAAGGAGACCTACTGTCTTTGCATAACGCCGCGCGAACACTTCCCAAGAAAATAAGAATCTCGAAATATACGTCCGCCAGAGCTTTAGAAACTCGCGGATCGCTGCCAAATATAACTTCATAGTGAACGGGGATGTCCACGATACCGGCCATTTTCGATAGAATTTTCGAAACTAGCTTATAATAACGAATCGAGGTGCGTCCAATCTGGTTGTGTTTTAGCACAGATATTCAAAAAATTAGATTTTATGCTTACATACCTCTGTCAAAGTTTTTGTTGCACTCCACACTAAAGTAGATGGAGCTGGATAACATTGAATCATCATATCCACGGCAGGGCCGCAAATGGTAAGAAAGTCTATTAAAGGGGAGATTTTGCGACTGAAGGGTGGGCAGTTATTGTTTGGTGGATAATAATATTCAAGCAATTCGATTTCTTTCATGACATCTTCGACATTTGCACCCAAAAAGCAATTGCCTGTTGACTGTAGCTTATTGACATACTTTTGTAGCAGTGTGTCCACTGGCATATGCTTTGGCTCATCCCCAACATACATCTCTATCTTTTCTTCGTGCATGATCGGGTATAATGATATCAGAAAAGAAAAAAACGACGTCGTAGCATATGGTTTTTCTTGAATAAAATTATGTATCAAACCAGCAAACTCAACATTTATGAAACGTCATCACACCAACATGCGTTGACGACAACTTTCACAGGTGAAGTGAGTGCGTTCCAGACTGTACTCGTGATTGTCGGAGGCCAAGAATGTTGATTAGTCTTTTTTGCTTTGGCTGCTGAGTAAAGTAAGATCAATGAAGCACACTTAACCGGAAAGTGTGGATATATCGACAGCGCAACGCTTAATGCTGACTGTGAGGGTACAAATTAATTCCAAGGGCAAATTTCTTGTCGAGAAATTTCCTGATACTGCCTTCGAGCAAACTACAAACCCCAAAAAAGATTTCCCGCTAGATAATACATCCTGGAACTGACAGGATTAATGAAAATTGCAAACGGGTCCAGAAGTCGGTCCACTCCGGAATTTGGGGTCCAACTTACACCTCCCAGCATCTCCCGTAAGCTTAAACACGAGCACAGATACATACAAGCATTTGATCCCCCTTAAACTTCAGCTTGGAAACAATTCTCCGATGACAGTTTGAAAAATTAGCCTTTCTTAACCGCTGAGTAGTAATTCCAAATGTATACGCTGTGTTAAAAGTAACCCATGGAATGTAAGATCTTTTGCCTGACGGGAAGTTTTAATTCCATTTTCAATACACACTTGTATAACGAACAAAATATTTGTGATCAAAACTCTTATCTTCAACTGCAATTCGGGTTTTTGATGCAAAATGAAATTGAATAGAAATCTGACTAAATTTTATGCGCCCGAGTATCGTATCTAATAACGCCCATCCGCATACTTACTAACCATGTGTGTGTCCATCCGCAAAAATATGCCCATACAAACTCAAAATACATTCTTCAACCCAATAGATCATCTAATCCATTTCCTAGCTTTTGAGAAGATTGTGAAGTTTGTGAAGGAGCCGATCCAGCAGATGATGCCCCCCAAATACCTGCACTTGCTTTCTCCTTGGCCAATTGTCCTAATGCTGGGCCGGAAGTCGTGGGAGTGCTTGTCTTTTTGATACCAGCGCTGGCAGTAGACCACAGGGATCCGAAAGCATCTCCCCCAGATGACTTAGCAGATGTGGGCGACTTGATGGAGGATGCTGCCGACATAGGCTTAGATTGTGTGCTGGCGGCTTGAACCGACGTGAAATAATTTGGTTGTGTGCCTTGGTAACCTGTTTGAATTGGACGTGGCTGTTGAGCAATAGCAGGTGGAGAAAATGCAGAATAGTTGGCCGGTGTGTTGTTGGTGCTTGTTGCTGGTGAAATCGACGAGAAACCAACCATATCACTCAAGTTTGCTGCTTTTGGTGCCGATACTGGCTGAGGTGCGGCGTATTGTGTATTAACAGTGGTAGTAGCGGTGGGCTGTGAAATTGGAGAGAATGCAGCGGGGGCAGCCGGTTGTGCTGGAGTCGCAGATTGAAAATCATCAAAGTCATCATCATCGGCCAGACTATTTGATGCTGCAGGTGCAACCGCCGGGGTGGATACGGGTATTGGGTCATCGAAAGAGAACAAATCGACTTCCGGCTCCTTCTTCTTGGGGGGTTCGACTTTTTTTGTCGATCGCTCAGTTCCAGCCCTTTTGCGATTGGATGATGCTGAGGAGCTCTCGGCCTGTCTTCGCGACGATGAAGGAGCTGCACCCTCGTCATACTCATCATATTCCTCAAACTTGTCTCTGCGGCTGCTGCTTCCACCAAAATCCCCATGATTACCAGAATCTTGGAAATCGCTAGACTGACCCCCAAATCCGCCACCATCTCCATATACACCTCCACTATATCCACCATAACCACCTTGTTCCTCACTTCCAAATCCTCCATATCTACTGGAACTGGACATTCCACCACCTATTCCTGCTCCACCTTCTACTCCAGTATATTTATTTCGTGTTGCTCGTGCTTTCTTGCGCTCCGCCCGAATCCGGTCTACATCACTAAGTAATTCAGCCAGTTCCTTGGCTCTGTTTCTAACATTAACACCTTGATCTTTGCCATTCTGATCGATGAAATGAAATTGGCGTAGCATCTTGAGGAGCGTCAAATGGGATCGCGCATCATCAATGACACGCTCGGAGCCATTCTTGATTAAAAATTCGAGTAGTTGTAATCCTTTGTATATTTGTCTCCATTCTTCGGCAGCTTTCTCTGTGAATCTCTTATAAATCATCGGCATAATCTCATTAAGTAGTTGACTTGAACAAAATTAGTATGCTGACTGGGAATTGACGAGAATGACCTACTAGTTATATGTGCCATTCGCGATTTCCTGCATCACTGTAATAACGCATTAGGATTGACAGCCTAAACATTAAAGATAACCAGATGTTGCCACTAACATGAGGAACTAGCACCCCATGGCTCATTATTTGTCGCCTCTCTTACTTTGGCCTCCATTTCGGTATAATTCATCACAGCTATACATTATCAGTAAACCACCAAACCGGCCAGCTGTCTACACTGAGTCCTTACCATTTTGTACCTTTCTCACGCCAGCCTTCAAATCGTAGAGGGTCAAATTGGACGCAGCCTCCTTCAAACTGGCGAGATCCATGGCGACGGTTAGGTGGTAAAAAAGATGGATGATGTGAAATTGTAGACGCGGGGGAGATTATCTGGGTACTGATTGTATGGAGATGCAGGTGTCCCATGTGTTCAAGAAAGGCCGATCGCACACTAGGTTAGTCACTAGCCTCGATGTGAATGAGAAATCACGTGACAGAACCATTGACTTGACATTCTTAGGATTTCCCAGGAGGGGTCAAAGAAGTAGATTCGGATGGAGTAGGAAACGGTCTGGGTAACAGCACTTGGGTAGTTTCTTGGTATTTCGAGATTTTTATTGTGACCATCAAGATCTCTCGATCATACTGAGGGTTCTGAGCTCTGAGCTCCAGAATGGTTGTGGCAAAATCGCAGAAGCAATCAAACGGTGAAGAACCCCTGCTTCGAGAGAATCGAAGAAAAAAGAGAATGACTTGAGAATATACTGCCTGCGGAGGTTACTTTTTACTTCATAGGGATCATCTACAACGTTGTACAATCAAGTGGCAGTATTCGCCAATCTTCTCTTCCTTCCCAATCAATGGTATCTTTTACCGTGTCCCTTCATTGAGAGAATCCTTCACCAAGTCAAAGATACTCCGTAGGTACGTTGTTGAGAAACCCCGACCAAACCTGCAGGTCAAAGATCTGCAAGTCAACCATATTTTTCGTATTCCTTTGCGCGCTTTTGAATGATTGGAGCATCGGGTCATCGAGCTTTCCAAAGTAGCCCGCTTTGCCGTCTCTCGAGTCTGGGGGGGCTATACTATTTTTGCTTCCCCTCCACCGGAGTAAAGAATACATGAAGGCGTCATGTCAACTCAATCAAATGCGCGGCATCTCCTGATTGGATTTCCCGCAGAGGTACATTTCAAACGATCCTTCTAGACTGGGTAGGTTCAGATCACCGCCTTTCAGCAGCTGTAAAACACCAATGAATATGGATTAGATGATGATATCGTGCATCTGGAAAAGAGGCTATGAGAGGTTACCCTTTAGTCAAAGTTATGATACGTCCCTGGGACATTGACATGCAGTCCCCAAGAGACCTACCTAGTACTTAATGGGACTTGGGATTAACCTCGATGATTCCCCTTGAAATGTAATAATAGTTAGGTATGTAGAAAGAAAGAAGGGAAAAACAGAGATGGATCTAGAAAGAAAGCAGAGATATTCTTCCCTGAAAGAATATCTATTTGATTGATAAGTTTTATTTAAAATAGTCTCTATTTATATACCTGGTACTGTACTTGGTATTTACTTCTATTTATCTAATTAGTATTGTGTGTATTTATATCAAAATAAAAGTCCCTCGATCAATTCACTTATTATTGTACTGTACCTTCCTGGTACCACCACCTCCTATCCCTACCTCTGCTGAAAGCTTACCCTTACCAACCCCACCTGCATTTTACTTGTTTCTTTTCCCCTCCACCACTCCTTCCGATAGATTCCTTCTCTTTCCTTCTACTCAATTAACCAATCCTTTTTGCCCCAAAACCCGAAGAAGATCCTTTTTAATTTTGCTTTAGTATTAGTACGGTACGGTACGTATAGTGCGCTGCATACGCTCACTCTCACTTGCTCACCACCACCATTAATTAATTGTCTACCACCCTCACACAATCCTCCCACGCCTCACATTCACTTTTCAACACTGCCCCACCAGAAACACTAATTATCCAATCAGGAAGCTCTAAACCACTTCGCTAAAAATGTTATTCGTGCCCCGCACTGCTTCTGGCTTGAAAAGCACTTCGCTGCCCCTCCTTCGCAAGACCTTCATCAACAACTCTTTCAAATCCATCTCTTCAAGACAATTTCACGCTTCCAAATCCAACATGACTATTAGAACGTATGTCTTAGCATCAAAGACTCATCAAAGTAACTACATTGAAGCTAACAAATCATTAGTTTCTTCGATGTTACCTGAGAAAGGCCCAGTCCTTGACGCTTCCGGAAAGGCTACCTCCACCGTTCAAGGTAAGTGATTCAATCTTCATTTCATTAATCCATTCTGCATCAATTCTATCATAACCTCAATCGTTTTTCATCAAAATGTGGCACGGTGTGTCTCTTTTGAGCCCATTGAGCTTCTGTTAAGCTTCGAAAACACGTCTTTTGTTTATTTTGATTGTCGTCATCTCAGCCCCACCTTTTGACCCCTCTCTTAGTGTCTTAAGCTGACATCCTACTCCATCGCAGAACAATCTGGAAGAATCAACTTCACCCTCTACGACGATGTAGTCCCAAAGACCGCAGAGAACTTCCGTGCTCTTTGCACTGGTGAGAAGGGTTTCGGATACGAGGGTTCTGCCTTCCACCGCATCATCCCCCAATTCATGCTTCAAGGAGGTGACTTCACCCGTGGCAACGTACGTTACTATAATCGATGCAAATATTATACAAGACTCGAAACTAAAAACCATACAGGGTACCGGTGGAAAGTCAATCTACGGTGAGAAGTTCGCCGATGAGAACTTCGAGCGAAAGCACACCCGTCCAGGTCTCCTCTCCATGGCCAACGCTGGACCAAACACGTGAGCCTTAACCCCTTCTGCAAGACTTCATTTTAGTTCAATCAACTAACAACTATATAGCAACGGCTCCCAATTCTTCATCACCACCGTTGTCACCAGCTGGCTCGATGGTAAGCACGTCGTCTTCGGTGAAGTCGACGATGACTCCTTGAAGGTCGTCAAGGCTCTCGAGGCTACCGGATCCGGCAGTGGAAAGGTTCAATACAACAAAAAGCCAACCATTGTCAAGTCTGGTGTCCTTTAAATGCATTTTCTAGCGAGGGTATCGGTGAAAGGTGGTCTTTGAGCACGAAACCGGTCGGCAAATCTTCATTTATGATTAGCTATCTGGCGGATAAGTGACGAAAAGTAATGCAATGGATTTACTAAATTATTCTTCTGTCTTTTGAATGTGATGTCTGCTTTTGTGACTAGACACGTGAAACTTTTCTATATCCCGTCTGTGGTATCTTTCCTTAACTCCTAAGCCGGCCGTCGCTATGCTATGTAACAGAATCCTATCCCGAATATCCATCTTTGCCCCTAAATATTCAACCATGTCTGAAAATACTCGCAAGTACTTGGTCCTACGGGCCCACCTTCCTCGCAGAGATCAGCAACCGGACAGTGTCCACATGGAACATCCGTCAAAGCACTAGACGGGCCACCTTCCTGATCCTCCCTAAATCCTTTCCTTACAGCCCTATAGCAAACACCTTCCGGACCCGCAAGAACCTTCTCAATCTTATTATCGAAAATCAAAATCTCTAGCAATTGCTGAATGTCTTGAGCAGTCAGCGTCATGGCCGTAGCTCCGGAATTCTCAATGAAAGAGGTGAGTTCATTAAGGGTCGGATATCCTTGGTAGCCGGGTGGCATAGGTAATAATGCATCGTAATGTCTCCTGGCTCCATCCACAGCATCGTCTTCGGTGGTATCTTCAATTTTGACTCGGCCTCCTAAGGCTTTGTCTCTCAACGCTTTAGCTTCATCCGCAGACATCTTCCTCCCTACAACCTTTTTCGGCTTCTTCAAACTCGCCGAACTAGATTTGTAGAAAGATTTTCTGTGGATGTGATCAAATAAGATGTGCGAGATTTGCGTGATAAACTCCTCGTCTAGTTCATTATCGGTATACCATGCTCCACCAGTGGCTCGATCGGAAGGTTGCAGGCTGGATTTGATGTACATTTTCCGATTACGGTTTTCCACGGATTTCATCTCTGAAATCAAATGCTTCGTTTCGAGGTGCTTAAGGGCGGTACGGAAAACGGCATCGTGGAGGTTAGACCTCGCCTTAATGGTTTTGGTCCATATTCCCTCTTCGGCGGCTTCGTCGATGAGCGCGTAGACAATTTCTTGCTCGGAGGAAAGACTGCGGTAACTATTGTTCGGGAATTCATTAGCACTGTCTACATATCATGCGCGGGTAAATCTGATTTGAGCTTTTCGCAACATTGAGCGCAAAGGGCAGAAAAAAAAGGTCCTACTTCTTGGCTTCCTCTTGAGTACGCAATTTCCATCCGATGCCCCTTTGCGAATCCTGAACCACCTTGAACAACTTATCATTTGTGAGCCCCTGGGTGACAGCCAGCAGTATGGACACATCATCATTAGGTAGGACATTGAGTTCGAACAGATCTTCTTGGAAAAAAGTAGGATTATCTTCGAAAGATTCAAAACACTCGTCATAGAGGACTTTTTTCAAGGCTGTGATTTTATCATCGGGCGCTGGCGCGCCGGTGCCTGCTCGTGAAGACATGATGACTTATAATTGTGCAGATTGGAAGCTGTAGGTAATGCTACCGGTGTTGACGTAACATTGAGAGATTCTCCAGGAAATCGGGTTTGGTGTGTAGTGGTGGAAATGTCGAAAGGTTGTTCGAGAGAGATAAATTATTATTTTACGCGAGGAGGGGCGAGGCTATGAGGAACGGCGCCTTGTCATGCAGCCAATACTTGGGCTAGATTAGTAAGCGAGTCTGGAGTCATTCGGCGAACTTCAAGAACTTCAATATCATTCAACATCCCTTCTTTTCCTTTTCTCTCTCCGGGGGTTGCTAGTTCTTGATAAGTTAAATTCTTGAACTGAACTTTCGTGTCCTCTGGGATATTCTCAGGATTCAACATAGACTGCTATATAGTAATCACATCGGCACTTTCATTATCCAAGTTTCAACATCTACCTAGGTATAAATGTGCCACATCCTTGAATAAACTATAGCTAGGTAGGTATACATACATGTATCTTAGAAGATGATGGGATGGCTCCAAGAAAGACGTGATAGAGGGGTTGTACCAATGGAATATGGCTGGAGATTCGAATGTTCAAGCAAGCTTGAGTCGCACAATGAAACTCCAATGATTAGGGAAGACCGAATCTGGCAATGAATTTTAAATGTTCGAGATTAGGTTGAGCGTTTAGGGGGCGGAAAGAATGTCGAATACAGGGAAGAAATTCTCTCTCGTGTCTGGGGCTAGGATAGTTTGTTCTTTGGCCTTCAATGTTGGGCTTGGGTTTTGATTTCGAAAGCGCAAGTTGTAAAAGGATTTTTGATTCCCGGTCGACATTGATGTTACTCAATGAATACTCGATTTCAGTCCAGCGTCCTCAGAGTTTATTGTTTGGAGTAAAATGAATTCATATGACAGGCCTATTGCAAGGAATGAACTGCATGGAAAGGTGCATTGAATTCGCGGCCAATAATCGGTTGGTCCTAATGCCCGTGTATGGAGCATTTCTAACCTCGTACCTAAATCGAAAAGCACTAGAACATATATCTTGTTTTTCATGTGGTGACACAAATTACCCATTTCTCTTTGGCAAACGCAGGACTTTGCCATCAGTATGTCTAGGAACCTTCCAAGGCAACAATGGCAATGATAAAGTAAGGGAAATCGTGAAGGCGGCAATCCAGGCTAGTTACCGTCACATCCATGGTGCAACAGCATATGCGCAATGAAAAGGCGATTGGAGATGCCATTACAGAGAGTGATGTTTCAAGATATCGGTTATTCGTGACCACTACATTGTATCTCCATAGACGTTTAGGAAAAGGGCATTTCTATTTGGCACTCACCATCTCTCGATAGCTGCAGAAACATCCCGTTAGTAATCATGGCCTAGACTGCATTGATCGAGCGCTTAAAGGAGGGTCGTTTCGCCATACTAACAAAGTCCCCTCCGAGACAGTAACTAATCTCAAGGGTCCCTTGGGGCTCAATTACTTCACATATCTAGGGGCCCTTGATAGATCTTATATTTGTGCACGGCTTGAGGGCTAGATCCAGGAAAGCATGGTCGATATCAGAGGATGCACGTCATTACTGGCCGAAGGAGGGGCTACCTCACGACCCTGACTTCAAGAATGTCAAAATTTCTTCACTCGGGTTCAAAGCAGACTGGGCAGAGACAAACGGTAATGAGCTTGATGTTAGCAACTTCGCACAATCTCTACTGTAGCCAGGTAGGAGAAGTCAACACTTGCCCAGAGATTCGCAGGAGTAATGTAGGATCTTCAAGATTGATCACAAATATTCTATTCATATTTTTCTTACACAAAACTTCTTTTTGTCCGCCATACCATGGGCAGCTTGGTCATCAAAAAGGTAAACTGAGGTTGCCGGAGTACTTTTCAACAAACTAACTAATCTAGATGTACCTACTGGTTATCAAAAGTTCAACCATGCATGATCTTGTTCAGCGAGTTGACACGATGTACCTTCTAGCCACTCCACATCGAGGTTCAAGGGCTTAATATACATTGGGCATTCACGATATTTCAGAAGATGATCAAATAGTGATCAGGGATGCAAAAATTTTAAGGCTCGTGTAAGTTGCTAATCTCGAGACCAGCATTCGATGGTTGGCAAAATCTTCCTCTGATGCACCTCCAGTATTCTGGCTGAGCAGGAATCCTGCATCAGGGAAATACGTTCTCGCTGGTCATGTTATCGACCATCTAGAGCAAAAAATCTTGCATGTTGCTACTTTTTCTTAAAAAGATGGAGTTGCTGTTAATTCAGTTGGCTACTTTCTACGTACCCTTCAGCACCAAATGGCACGATCCAATCCGGATCTTCATTACAAGTCGTCACAGTCAGGTTTTAGATAAGGGATATCTCAGGTTTGGTTAAAGTCTAATCAACTAATAAGTATTTGCTTCTAGGTACGATGGGGATATTAAATCATTCTTGCAAAATCATTTAGACGAACTTCCTCTGGGCACGCTTGAAAGACAGGAGGAGTTAACTGAGCGGATACTGGCTATGTCTTACCACACTTACATATGGAGAACATATGTCTGCTGTTAGGTCATCTACGGCCGGATAGCAATATAGATACTACATCAAGTCGAGTCAAATTTACTTTCGATCATAGTGAAAAAGTGAAGTTTCCCACATTTGGGACCAGAGATCAGTTTATTGCTTCCTCGGGAATATCCTCGAGACAGATTTGGGATTTCGAAACAGGAGGGACGAAGCGTTCATTCAAGCTCGGCTGTCGAATAATAGCCTTCCGATTTACCCCTGAAAACCATGGATTAATAGTAGCAACATCAGAGAATTTCATTTCATGGTTCTTTGTTCGAAGACAGAAAGATCGGATGTTTTGGAATGAAAATCACCATAATAGGACGAAAACGATCTATTAGCTGCTAGCCAATGTTCTTATCTCACCGGGCCTAAAGATTATAGCAATTAGCTCCAAGGCAGTTCCTGTATTCCTATTCGGCTTATACAACGAAGTTGAGTGTAGTGAGCTTGTTCAAGATCAAGGACTAATGAAAAGCCTTGGTGGTACTTACTATCACGCATCAGCCATGGCTTTCAATCCGAATCCTGATGTCAACCTACTAGTCGTCTATCATGGCTATGAAGAGCTTGTGGTATTTGATTCAAAAACAATTGAATTCAAGCACCGTACACCAGATGTACATGCCTAAGCATTGGCATGTTCAGTTGATGGAAGAACCTTAGCGATAGGTAGTTCTTTCGGGACTGTTCGATTCTATGGATTCGACGGCACGGAAGATGCGAATCTATCTCTGATATTGAACAAACACATACGATGAAGTTACCCGGTTGCCAGAGTTGCTGGGCAGAAGGAACTGAGGCACGGTAGATTGAGGCACGGGGAGCTGGTAAAGCTAGACAACTAGCCACTCGCAGCAGTCTGTCCAATACCTAAAATCTACCAAAGGTGTACGGGATGTACCACTAGAAACGATTAATATTATTTACTCTCTAGACACTCAGGATTCCCCTGTCCTCAGCGGGCGATAACTAATAGATATGAGGATATAGCAAACTACCGATCTGATATTCCAAATTCATCGACTCATATCCCCAGGAGTTCTAAGGTGATACGAGGATTTACACCAGGCCGCCCGCACGTGTCTAACTTCGAGTACATGATACTGCAAAGACCGAATAATAGGAGTGATTTTGCGACTTACGCTGGATGATGAAGGTAAATGTTGCGAGCTGAGGTTGATTAATGAAGATGTATTGTAACCTTCTTTATAAGTCTCGAGGTCACAAGCGAACAATACGGACAAATTGAGTGGTTCTAAAATGAAATTTTGATAAATCAAACCCACAAACACTGTATGTAAATCTCTGATACAGTAGGATATGTGATGGGAAAGATATCCAATATGGTATGATCAACTTAGATGTTTACTGATTCTCCTTTCCAGTAAGATCTAGACAACAGCATGCAAGCCTGGAGCCCTTCTCATCCTCACAATTTGATCTTCTGCACCGAAATTTTTATAAGTCGAAATGTCAACACACGCATGTAATGATCATCAAGAGCAGCAAAAGTGATCAACCCCAACAAACGCTCCCATCAAACGTTAACAACAGCGACCTCACTTCCTCGAAATCAAGATTAGAATTTAACAATAAATAATTCGTTCATCCAATTCAACCCAATTCAATTATCCACATATGACCTCAACATCAAACAAATCAACATCCTCCCCTGATATAGTGGATCCTCACAACAGAACACACATAATGCACATCCACATTCACATCCACATTTTCTTAGAATATAATTTACAAACACTCAGAGTATCTTCACCAATCAACAATAGTAACGCCCGTTTGGCTTAGCGGTAAAGCGCATCACTAGTAATGATGAGATCCTAGGTTCGATTCCTAGAACGGGCATTCAACAATACCAGTCCACCGATGTCTGATATTTGCTTTTTTGGCCATACACCAAAATACACATTTTTTTAGGTGATTGAATAACACAGGAAGTAAGTAGCCAAGCACTAAACTTTTATTTTTCAAGGCCATTTTTAGTGGATAGTTTGGTGGGTAGATAGATAAATTAGGGTTGTGGGGAGTAGTCCGAGCGGTAAAGATTTGTATGGATATATGGATTGTGGGTTTTCTGTATCGAGAATCATAACTTTCTTTGCCTTGGCCGTGAATTCAATGGATGTTTTACTTAAATCAATCATATCATTGCGGTATTCAGGCAGATTAATAACTACTGTCAGATTTAAAAAGACAGCAAAGGTAGTCAAATTCGTGAGTGTGGATTTATTTGTGTTAGGGATAATGTTGCGTCTATATTTCTAGCGATGGCTGGCATACAGTGAAGTACCTAGAAGTCAAGTCGATAGGAACTAATCGACTTTTACTGGACTTTTCTCCTTAGAAATTTTTGGAATTGTAGACGCTGAAATTTTGATGTAAAATAGTCTCGTGTTGTAGGTTTAGTATGGCAATGCAGCAAATTGTTGAGGTTAGATGTGATGTGGTTTGGCCAGACTATCAATTGTGGTTTTTGTAGTTGGATGAATACTTATTCACAGAGAGAAGACCAAATACACCTTGACACACGAAGGAATAGCTTCCCGAAACTTTACGAGCACTGGCTTTCTCTTGTGTGGAACAATAATTAAGAAGATTGAGGAATGCCAAAATATTATATTGTGGTATATTATTTCTTTTTATTAAAATTTCAGCTATTTTCTAGTATTTATCCAGAATAATATATATTTACTATGAATCAGTTAGCACTGGACATCAACAATTCAATAAATAAAACTCACCTCGGCATCAGCAATCTTAAGAACCGCCTTTCCAAAGTTCTTTCCTTGAAGCATACCAATTAATCCCTCTGGACTATTGTCGATACCTTCAGTAACAGACAAAGTAGCCTTGAAGCTTCCATCCGCCAACCACTTGGAAACATTCTCATCTCTGGCCTTAGCATGTAATGGGCCCATGTTAGCATCACCAACAATAAAACCTTTGAAAGTGAGTCTCTTTGCCACGATGTTCATCAAATTCTTGATAGGATATCTCTCGGCTTCAGTTTTGTTGTACTCGCTAATCATACCACAAGCGACGATTCTGCCAAAATCTTTCATGGCACTGATAGCCGCTTCTAATTGTTCTCCTCCGACATTCTCATAGTAGATATCGATTCCATCTGGTGCGAGGCGCTTGAGAGCATCTGCTGCTTTCTCGGTCTTGTAGTTGAAGCCTCCATCGAATTTCAAATCCTTGATGATGTAATCTAATTTGTCGTCAGATCCAACGGATCCGATAACCTTGAGACCTTCGTGCTTGGCAAGTTGTCCAACAAGTTGTCCAACAGCTCCCGAAGCGGAAGAGATGAAGATGGTTTCGCCTTTAACTGGCTTGCCAATTTCATAGAAAGAGGAGTAGGCGGTCAATCCGGGCACTGAAGAAAATGCATTAGTATATTTGTGCCAGTGGTTGTGATGGTGATTGAAGTAACTTACTGCCCAATGCTCCAAGGAAATGCTTTACGTCAAGGTTATGTGGGTTCTCAATTTTTGTTGCTCCATCTGCAAGCTGCTTTGGAAGAGCAGAGTACTCTTCAGTCCAGATGAAACCAACGATAAGGTCTCCTGGTTGAAATTTAGGGTTGTCGGACTTGATAACTTTGGCAACGGTGTTGTTGTTGATAGGTTGTCCCAGTGGAAATGCTGGAGAGTAAGACTTGACTTCCGCAGCCCTCATGCGTCCACGTTGATAAGGATCGAAAGAGGCATATAAGTTCTTGGTTGTGACACCTCCAGCTGGTGGTGCTTGCTCGAGGTCAAATTCGCGTGCCTCGACTACCAAGTCCTTTCCTGCAATAGGAAATCCTTGAGGAACTTGCTTGAAGATGAGACCTTTGTTTTGAACCATGTTTGCTGTTTTTATTTATTATATTCTTAATGTGGTAAAGTAAGATTGTTAAAAAAAGAAGTCGATAGAGTGTAGCAATGAGGAATTGTGTGGGATAAAGATATATAAACGTCAACAGTCTTTGTGATTGGAAATTCCTTGGATATGACGATTGCTTAGAAATGTCTTCTTCATCCAAGCTCAATCCATGATTCATTCTAGTAGACAACCACCTACCTTTCGGAGATACACTAGTATTCACATTCTTCTACCATTCGCTGCCCTTCAAGGGGAATCTTCTCCATTGAATCACCATCTCCGTCCCCGATTGCGTGAGTTTATGTATATTAGTAATATTTCTGTTAGAAGAATATGGAAACATCAGTATGTTTTTGTACACCTTACGCAAATCATACCGAGGTTGTCGGGGTTTAATACCACCGTTCGGAAAAAGACCCCGCCAAAGCCGCCACCTTGACAGTGAAGAATGAAAATGTTCCACATAAATACCACAGTATGTCTATTTGAGGATACAAATCCGTCTGCGTACGGTAGGAGTTAAGGTGAGTGGACCTATTCAAATTAGTTCAGACAGATTCATGCTTTGTGGCTCCAATAGAGAGCTGATCATGTTGCCCCTTCATCAGAGTTCTCACATCTAAAACGACGGACAACAAAACATGAGTGAGCACCTGGAAGGCTGAAATCGAAGTTTAGAGTGCTTACAATATCTATGGTCTCAACGGCGGATTTCCGCCTACATGCATGCATTAATTAGTACGGAGTACATGCATTGGCCCCGCTCCGGAAAATTTTGATATGCATGCCCCTCACTGTCTGATTTTTCTTCTGCTTTCCTCCAGATTCTGTGCAATGTCTACAGTTCTTGCATGACATAGCATTTTCCTCGAATTAGCGTCGGTAGTGAGAATAAGAGGGAGGACGCGACGGAGATGAAGTTGTTTTCGGTTGCATCCATGCGTGTTTGTCTGTTTTTTAAGGAGTACACGTGATCTGTACTTGACTTTCAAGGTAGTTTCTTTATTATTTCAGTAGCAACAGAATCTTCATTCATTGATGGTTTTTGTTTTATATACATTGAGCGCTTAGAGTTGTAGTTCCCCTGAGCGAGCTGACCAGTCCATGAACATATTCTGGAAGTCATCTTTCTTTATCAGACGAGAATATCACCACTTGAAGTCAAAATAGGAAGTTTAAAATCCTTTTCAAAGATCTGTTCAACCAGAACATTAAGTCCAGATACCACAAGATGTATTGGAGCTTTTTTACACTCTGTACAAGTACATGAGAATTCTTTTCCTGACCTCTCATGGCTTTTATTGCGGTCTTTTGGGACGAAGAGGAACTGTGGATTTGATGACCCTATGGGCTGAAAGCCAACAATGGTTTCTATAAGAACGTACAGAAAGAGCGAAGAAGCTTAGATACTCAAGGTCTCGGTTAGCTAAGGTGAGGCTATTCGAAAGATATCTATTGTTGCTAATAGATCAAATACTTTGTACTGTACGGCATTTTCCATGATGCCATGATCTTCTTCGTTGGTGTGAATATATTTCCTATCATGCATCTTTTCTAGACGTGCTTGAAAGATTCTCCTATCAAGCGAAAATAATCTCAATTTTGTTCTTGCTAGTATAGAAGGGCTTTACTACTAAATGTGCATATCTTACCGCCGACTCTGGCTACCATCAAACTTCATTCTGCAAATCAATCCTCATGGATAAAGCAGTGGCAGATCTAGCTTTTGCTATAGAGACGATCATGATAACTCGGTTTGACGCTGGGAATCTAATCGGTGTCCCCGTCTGTGGCTAGTCATTCAAATACTAGATGAGATGACGTGCTATCTAAGAGGCTGCTTCCAATCAGAACTTCAACTTTGACGGCTGTGTAAACTATTACAAGACTCTCTTTCATATCATTGTGACCAAAAGGGTGTTTATAGACCAGCAATTGTATTTAACTTAGAATCTACAGGTGAAGAGCACCTGTAGATGGGGATAGCTACTCTATATGTACACAAATGAATGGCCTAGCCGCAATGGCTAGGCAAAAAGAAGTCATATTTATCCCTCCAATGATCTTACTTTACCGATAACCATTAATACCTAGTACTTGTCCGGGTCTGATCCTCAGGTCACCTAAATCGTATACTAATCCCGAGTAATCGTATCATGTGTGGACATGGTTAATGTACCTGAGGTTTCTTATATAATAAGGGTGGGAGGAAAGCAGGGGTTTCCGTCACAATCATCAATTATTCCTCGATTACTAGTATATTCATCAAGAAGAATTTGAATAATTCTCTATATAGAACATATCCAACTCTCTTCTCTCCGAAACCCAAGGAGAATTGTATTATATTCTCTTAAATTTTATTAATTTATTTCATTCCTTCTTTTCCCTTCTCTTCAAGAAAACAATATGTATTTTCATCTCTCTACGAGGAAAAATATTATTAAAAATATTGTTAAAGTGAATGGTTCCTGCGTAGCACGTGCACAGGGCACTAGTCCTATTAGGACTAGATTGAGAAGCTCTCTGTAGGAGAGCTTCGCACTCCCATAGAACTTAGAAAAAGAGTGATTAATACACTAGACCAATATTACCTCAGTTCTGCCCTATCAGCTTCCCACTATTCCCTGTGTAAGGTCATTCCTTTTAACAAATATTATAATTTATTTTTAAATCCAATTTAAATTCAATTTTTTTTTCAGTTAATTTATATTTGGTTATTTTTGTTACGAGGTTTGCCGTCTAGATCACGTGGAAGTGCTCTAGGCTCTCGAAGTAGGTTTATAACTAGGCGTCAAGCAGGGACTTAAAGTAATGACAATAATGATATGCAATTCGTAACTAATAGTAGAGTATACTAAATGATTGATCTTGAGCACGAAGCTCTACAATAAGAAAACTCTTTCCAGTTATATAGACCTTCGTACTATGCATCCCACTGCCCTCTATCGTCCCATCAAGGTGGGAATATTTCCCACCATAGTGGGATTCCTAGGCTCGGTGGGAATCCTTGATCACGTGCTTTCGATCAGATTCGATGTCTATGCTTGCTTAGGGTGGGGAGACCATATAAGTCAATTGTCATATAGTTTTGTATGTGAATCTACTTGCTTTTCCACATGGTCCAAGCTCGTATAGACAGATCAGCTGTTACTTCGTAACAGCAATTTGCGTTCGCGGCACTTCCTCGTTCCATGCCAGAACAGAAGCCGCTCTGGGGTAGGTTTTCACTAGCGGCGTGCAATAAAATCATGTCTGGTGAAAATCCACTGCCTCTTACTCTAACTTCCATATCAAGCCCTCACTCAATACCGAAAATTGTTTTCATCCCATCCGCTCTACCACCACCAATTCTCACCCCGTCTACCCCGCTCCTTCCCTCTACAAAAACCCCGCCCATCAAAAAGGACCTTCTGATACATTCCATCAATTATCTCTATTCAGCAATATCAATAATATCTTCAACTTCCCTCTCCCCTTTCCTCTCTCCTCTCCCCATCAAAACCAATTCTTCTGATAGAAATTCAATCCCGTAGTCGTTTTTGAATATAGTCGATATAACTTTTATTTATATTCGATATAAGCCAGAAAGCTCAGTTACTTAGAATTCGAATATCCTCTGACAAAAACATTCTACTAAGCCCTGATATCAGTATATTAACAAACATCTCAACAACAACCTCCTCTTACTACAATCCACTCCACCCACATACTAAAATTCATCAATATCCATCTAAATAAACCCAACCCTTAACCTCTAATATATCCATCCATCCATCCATCCCAAATCTTCACACCTCACCTACTCCCGCCGAATAATCAATAATAAGTATATTTACACCTTTAGTATATTTAATATAGTCAATATACAATTTACTCTAAAAAAAAAAACCTCAAAAACAACCCCTTAAACCTACCTATACAAAAAAAATATCAGCCAAGTCAAACTCACACAACCACCACAAACTAAAATTCTCCCTCCCTCCATCTACATAAGATCTACATACATATAAAAAATCTACCTCACACACCAAGCCTCTAGAAATCTCTGAATATCTCCAGTCATCTGATCTGAGATCAACTCATCTAATCACTAAGAAATACATTCTTCCAAGCCAAAAGATTCCTAATTCCCAATTCCCAATTCCCAATTTCTCAAATGAATAATAACTCGATAACACAACAAAACGACTTAAGATCTTACCTTACCAGTCAGTTATTAGTACCAGGTAAGGTAAGGTTAAGTAAGAGTTTAATTATTACCTATATACAGAACTAGAACTAGAACTAATCTAATACCATAATCGATCGAAATCGGAGCCGGAAAAAACAATTTCTATTTCTGTTTCTATTTCTATTTCCCTCATTGGTCTTTAAGTAGAGTAGGATAGCGCGATCTTTGCGTCCGAAGTCTCCACGTGGGAGTTTAGATGTGGAAATACCCTACCTAGTTAGGTATCTATCGGGAGACTTGTGTTGTAGTGGCTTGGTTGGAGGTTTGTTTGTCTGTTTGTTATTTTGGTGATGGATGGAGATGGGATTAATTAGTTCGGCCTTGATTGTGATGTGGAGTGAAGGATGGATTTTTCATCACTAACTTATATGTTGGGATGGATGGTATTACTTATTACTTATTACTTATTAGTCTGGGTGAGAATTGCATAATATAATAAGCGCCCAGTAAGTAGTCTTACAGTTGGCAGTAATCTTACGGTTGGAAAGAAGGATGGGACGAACATAAGATTTGTCATGAATGAGCCTTTCAATTGTGATTGGTGGTTCCAAGGAGGAAATATCGATGAAGAGATGAAAGCGCAAATGTTTTTAGTTAGTAATAAAATATCGTGATTGATAAAGATGTGGAGTTTACTTCAGCTATTTGTCCAACTTTAAGGTCTCCAACTCTAAGGACAGCAAATTAACAAAAAAGACGAATCAAACTACTAAAAAATTGTCTTGAATTGAGCATTACCACACTCCGAATCAGACTACAGTCCTTGCCGTTTAAACCAAAAGGCACATATGTATATATATCCCACTTGTGATATCAGATGACAAATTTGCCAGTAGGTATTAATAGTACCTATATAAAATAATTCTACAAAGCCACTTGGAACGAGAATTAAAATAGCCAAGTAAGACGGGACACAAACAAAAATGCCATGAATTACCGATATGTCGGGAGGACAAACATCACATGTATGTAAGCTTCAATTTGACGTGGGATTTTCCCGCGTTTGATAGTGAAAACTTAACTGGATCAAAAACAAGAGTTTCATGTCGTTTGATCGTGATGAGTCAAGAAACGATTTTACCTGGTGATGCGATGGCACAGTTAAATCTTTGAAGGAGAGCCAGGCGTACTTTTCTCTTGCTCTAGAAATAGCATTTCTTAAGTTTCAACCCCCATCCCAACATTATACTTCCAAGATTGAGAGGATTAGGATTTGAAATATCGTGCCACTAGCTCCTCCAAGTCGCTGCCAAAAAACTCAAAGTTTTAAAGTGCAAGGTCCACAAAGTATCCTTCCTGTGCACATATATCGACATTTCGTCAATAAATGTTGCGAGGATGAGTTGATGATGTGGTTTGGCAGTTCGTGTTGTTTGTCTAGGACACACACGGATAACTTACGAACGATGCGCCGCAAAGCAACTGATTCGAATCCCAAAGATCATAGTTGAAACAGTCTTGCAGGATGAATTGCAAGGCGTAGGGGAGAATGCGATGTGCCGTTTTGATATGGAATTAATAAGGAATTTTACGAAGGAGTTGTGCACCCACAAGATGCGGTGCGATGAGTGGATTTTATGTAGAAGGATTTACCGTTTCGTTAGGTGGTTTGTGATGATGGATGTTTGATAGTATTCTTGATTATTATAGCTTTGTGCTAAGCCTTCGAATTGAACGATTTGAGTGTGTTGTCTTTCGACAGATATCCTTCTGACATCGTATCGCTCAAAGACATTTGTTTTCCTTCGATTGAGTATTAATACTGCACTCCGTACTGTGGTGGTACTCTGTGCCTCTGGATAAAGGCAACCAAGCAAGCTGCTTACATTAGCAAATCATCTACCTCTATTGAGTAACTTTTCGGACTGGTGGACTTATTAATGGAATAATGGAGAAAGTCAGTCGGGTAAGCAAATCCATCTACTCCGTCCTGCATACTCGTGGGGTAATCCTACTTAGCAAAAATATTCAATTTCGTTTCAGCTCCCCGGTTTTTGTCTTGAATCGAAACTTTGAAAGATTTACGGATTTTTCAGTATTTTTAAGCTTGAATTGAAACCATTGTAAAAAGATACGACCTTCCTGATTCCGAGGCTCAGCTTATCAAGGTAATATGGAAAGGAATTTGACAAGGGAGCTTTGATCGATCGCAACCTCGGCCTAAGAAAGATGGATCTTTGAATGAAAGTTCGGATACCCTTATGCAGGACAAAACCAATGTTGATTAGGATGTGTATTTTCCTCTGTGTGGGTATGAAGGTGGCTAGGCATCTAACCAATTCCTGAAGGTTGCCGTGTGAAGCGAGTGTGAAGAGAAGTACTCTAAATATACCTATGTGGGTTGGCTTATCTAGATCAAATATTCAAGAAAGGCAAGCAATCATGTGGCGCAGGACTCTGGTGTTGTTTGAATGTTCCATGGTACGGCAATGCATAAGTCATGCTTGTCAGCCAACCATCGTTGTATATCTTGACTAAAAATGAAAAGCTGCAGGTACATTGATATCATGTATATGATGTACTGGGCATGTATTGATTTGGCTGTATAGGGAAAGAGTGTGGTTGTGGTCTGTGATTGGCTGTTTGTGATGAAATTTATAGATTTCCCTCGCATGCTTTTACGAGGAATGGTTTCTTCAATGGTGTCCTGCCAATCATCTTCATAATCATCGTATTCCTTATATTCCTTGGATCTTGAATTGAACTTATTAAATTGCAACATTACCAACATTTCTCCATCCATGGTTGATTTCAAGGTGGATCCTATCGATGTGAACATGATGTTAGATTCCCAGAACCGGATAACTTATTACAGTCAGTCCTGTTCGAATTGATTGTCGTCTATTGCGAAAAATTGCAGAGAGTCTGGGCTATAGTTGTGGTTGCTACCAATTTACTTTACCAATATAGTCCAATATAGTTCGTTCGTTACCTGGCTAGTTTTGTTGCCGTTCGCTGCTCGCTATTCTATAATTTCTTATTTCTTGCTTAGTGGCTTTTGTCACAGCCGCCCGGAACGGGACTTCTGGAGAAAAAGCGCCACTATCACGTGGGATGCATGCATGTTGTTATTTGACTCTAACCCTCTTGAGTACTAAATAGTATTTATTTTGGATATTGGATTTTATTGGATGATGATTACTCTCTCAATTAATATTACGTCCGCCGTCTTGGAACGAAGATATATAACAATCGAAATATATACAGAGTAATGAATCTATTAAAACCTTTTCTCTCTCTCTTATTCATATAGAGACGGAAATTGTATACAAATATAGAAGGGACTACTGCAGAGAGTGAAGACTGAGATGGATAGAACGGAAGTCAAGTCACATATGCAAATATCCACTATTAATTTATTCCAACTGCCGCTAAGTTCCCAGAGCACACCACGCACTATAAACACGTTTTTCCCCACTACTGATCGATATCGATTGGATTATTGCATACCTCTTTTGATAATTTCGAAAGTTCGTTTTTATATTCTCTTCTCATTCTTTCAGAGTTCTCTAACCAATTATTTCCTCTCGGTATCAAACCCGATGATGAAGAAGATTTGATGTAATGTCTCCGAATGTCCGAATATACTTGAACAAGCTTCTTCCGAGCACAACTGCACACGGCTTCTTGCATTTGTGTCCAAGTTCCTTCTTCTTACCTCGTTCAATCTTTTCAAACCATGAACCATCCCATCCTTCATGCAAACTACTAGTCAATGTCATCCTTGCTCAATAAGCATTTTCAAAGATTATCCTTTGTACACAATCACGTCACTAGCATCTAAATTTAGCGCAATGCCTCGGCCACAAACATGTTTATGCGCTTATCCGTCGTGGGAATCTTTTTGTACGAAGTAGTTCTCGGGGACGACCCTTGACGCTACTCCAAGATTCCAGATCCCCGCAGTCCAGTTCAGTAGGGATGGATGTCTGTGAAATTTGCCACGAGGCAATCCACTTCATTCCTTCTGTCGTATTGAGTTAGAAGTATATGGTGAGCCTATCACATTATCTTGTCTTGAAAAAGGTTGATATTTTGCATTTGTGCTGTGCGGCGCTTGTTACTTGGAGGGATTCGGTCTTTGGAATCCAGTACCACGAGGTCGGTGTGGGTGTGTTCCCCGACGTACATGTTGTTGATCTATTAACCACGCGAGTTTTGTGATATATCCTCAAGCGATGCACTAGCAGGCTATCTTTAATATATTCTTTGACCTAGATCTTTGACTTCAAAGATGAGCCCCATTGCTACCAAGTGGATGCGAGAATCCAACCTCCATCATATGTTGTAGATATACCTTAGGTATTCTGATGTGTCCCTTGTTAAAGTATTGTGTCAATGTCGGACAAATGACCGCTCCGCGTATCAAATTGTATTGTGCATATCTAGAAATCGAAAATCAGGAAAACCCATTAAATCGACTTCCACAGTACCTATACTCGATATTTTAGTTCAAATCATATTTTGGATCGAATACTCTGCGATTATGCCACTTCAGAAGAGAGGGTCGAGCTTTAAACAGATGGGCTTCCATCTTGAGAGTAACAGCGCTGACGGGTTCTTCGAATACGATTGTAACACAAACAACAGGCAACCAGGAAGCCTTTACTGGATATCAGAAAATCCGAAATCCGAAAAACTTGCAGTCAGAAGGAATACAGCTATTATGGTACAAAAACCTCCTCGAATTCGGATAGATTTTAACCAACCGGCACAGTCACCATTAAGTCCATTACATTTCGATTGGGATTTTAACGAGAACTCGGCGAGCGGAAGTGTGGAAGAAAGGGTGGATGATCATGGGGATGGGAGTACCTCGAAGCTAACAAAGGTAAAATGGCCTCCGATTGGAGATAATGATGGTTCTTTGTCCATGTCTATACCCAAGTCTATACCCAAATCGACAAGTTGCAGTTCATTGGAAGATGGAGACGCTCATTCTGTACCACTCGTACCAACATCGATAAATAATAATCAGCATCATAATCGTCAGCCCCGTTATCATTATTTCCCCCAAACCCCGGCGCCCCCAAAAGTCGACTCAGGTGATGCACAAGTAGCAACACAAGCGCAGACTTGCAGTTACAGATGCAGGACTGCAGCTGGCGTGGTATTTTCAGAAAAAGAAACTCCGCAGCAGGCACAAGGGAAAATTAAGTTGAGGTTACATTCTGAAAAGAGAGAGGCGCAAGCTACCTCGTCAGATCAGCTTATGGAGGTGAAAGGATCAACTATTAATCTCTTTCATAATCCAAAAAATGCTTCATCGTTATGGTCTAATCATCTTATTAATGACAAAGGAAATCCAACTCCTGCTATAACTAGTGGTATTCCTGATATATCTAATATTCCTATTATTCCTAATAATACCAGCAAAAGATTAATACGGTCAACGAAATCATACGATCGATTTATTATCAAATCATCATCAAAGGACAAATCTTTTTTTCATTTTTATCATCACCAAAATCAACATCTGCAACCATCACAACAGTCATCGGCATCAGCATCAGCATCACCACAAGAACCACCACAAGGACCATCACCACCCCCACAACCACATCACAACCAAAATAAAAAATCAATATCAACATCTGCTTCATGTTCGAATTTAAAAAGCATGGTCGATTTTACCGATAATGTCGAACAATTAATTCGAGAAACGGATGAAGCATTTCAAGCCGCTGGATTTGCTTTAGGTGATGCAAAGGCTGCCACTAGAGGATTTCAACAAGTCAATAGTAGTAATAAAGTCAGTAAGATCACTGGTATGGGTATGAACACAAACAGCATGAACAATCTGAACAATCCCACTATTACCCGACAAAATCGATCAATTGGAAATAAATCCATCGCACGGACCAATTCAATCTCGAAGCGCAATCAAATGCAGAATTCCAACAGTTTGAAAGAACGTCCATTATCAATTGGTCTTTCTGGAAAATCCCCAGTACCAAAATCTATCATCAACTCAAAGGCAAAGAAATCGAATGCTCCCAAACAAAAGAAGATAACCGTGTCGGATAAGGCGTCGAGAAAGAGTTTACCGCATCCACATTCAAGCGCAAGATGGAACCTGGGAGATGTAACAGCCAGTATGGCTGATGTTTTCAAAGGGAAATTCACCAGATTGGAGGCCGATGAGATGTTAACTCCGGATAGATTACAACAACTTGAGGAGAAGGCGGAAAAGGCAAAGTTGGAAAATGAAAGAAAGGCTTCATTGGAAAATGCTCAAATTGAAGCCGCTCGAATTGTTGAAACTGTGAAAGATGTAGATGGGATTTCTTCAATGGAAAATTCACATAAAAGAGATGGGATAAAAACGCTTGATACGAATATCACATCCTCATTATCGGACAACTCAAATAAAATATCTCCAACTGAACCATTTCATTTGGAGAATTTATTACCTCGCATCAACAATGGCAAAACATCCAATTCACCTCAAACTACCAACTCCTCTTCACCACGTCCATCTACATCCACAGATACATCTGAATCTTCGGAGAAAGAACCAAAAGCCGCTCGAAAACCATTACCCGATCTACCAGATTCCGACTATGATGAAATCGATGCCCTCGAAATTGAACAAGCATTCGAAGATCTTCATTTTCCCTCTCCACCCCGCGATCCTCCACATTCTCCTCCCCGACTCCTACGAAGTCGATCAAATACAGGAATGACCAATCTTTTACCTACCATTCCCGAAATCTCCCCCCTTAACATGATATCCCCACGAACGCCTAAACGAACTTTTTCTCAAGACTCGGATTATTCAGAAGATTCAAGCACTTCTTCAGTAGACTACATCCAACTCCCTTCCACACCCTATACACTCACCTCTCCACTTTTCCGTCACGGTCCCATCCGTCTCGAACATGCCTATCACCGTCACAATCGCGATTCCATTTCCCCGCCTGATCTCGAAGAAGCACTCGATTGGACTGCATTCCAAATGGCCATTTCCGGAACCATGGACGATGGCACAATAGGCGCTAGCGAAGAAAGTATCTGGGAAGCAGACGAAGCGGAAATCGATAGTATCTTCGACTGGTGGAGTGGATTCGGATACCCTGGAATCGGTCGTCTAGTCAAAGAAGCTCCTATCTCGAGACGCAAACGAGGAAAAAGTCTCGCAGCTAACGATGCGGAAAAATGTCCCCGCAAAAATAAAGAAGGGAGAGATAATCGCGCGACAACTATTGGACTTGGACTAGGATTTGGTCTTCCTAGCGGAAATCATAGTGGCAGACCTAAAACTCCGGAATACAAGGGTGGACTATGGGTAGAAACTATTCGGAATAGTGCGCCACAATTTGTTGAGCCCAGATCGACTCTAGGAGCGAGAAGAGGAACCATGCTTCAAATGCGTGTTCCGGAACCAAAAATCGATGATGAGGATCATGATATCGATAATGATAGTTTACCGCCTTCGCCGATTAATCTGGTTAAGATTAAAGATGAGTATATTCCTATGGGATATAATCTTGGACATGATCTGGGCGATTTTTTGAATTGGGAAACTTATCATGTGCAGAGTCTTTTTGGGGAGGATGAGGGGAGGAATTGTTTGTAATTGTTTTTTGGGGTGGGTGGCTGGGTGGGAAGTGGAGTAGATTTTAGGGGAGGGTGGAGCGGGGTGTTGTAATTATAAATGTATTGAATGAATGAATAAATGAGTGAATGGGTTGAGTGGATGGATGTTTGGGAATGGTTTGGTGGTAAAATTTAGTGTATCAGTATGAGTATGAGTATCGATATGGTTATAGATGGGAGTTAAACAAGAGCTAAATATATATAAATATAATGTATCGCTATAGAAATAGTATATACCTAATAAGAAACAAATTAAAATATATATAAGGGAATAGAAAAGAATTATTATAATTTTATAAATTTTATCAATTTATTGTTATGACAGGTAACAATTAGGTCACGGGATTGGTAATAACACGTGATGCGAGGACTCGAAGAGCGAAAGGATCGAGGCTCGATCCCCTCGCTCCCTTCGAGCCACAAAGCATGAAGGTCTATATAATCAAGATGGATTTCCTTTGTATAGAGCTTCGTGCTCAAGATCAATCATTTAGTATATTCTACTATTAGTTACGAATTGCATCATTGTCATTACTTAAGTCCCTGCTTGACGCCTAGTTATAAATCATCTCGAGAGCCTAGAGCACTTCCACGTGATCTAGACGGCTAACCTCGTAACAAATAAATTCAAGTTATAATTATTTTTTAAAAAATATTTAAATATAAAAAGATCACTTAAAATTAAAATTTCAACTGATTTCATTTATTTATTATAGAATCATTAATGAGTGAAAATCATGATTTTTGATTTGGAAAGTGGCTGCTGGAATAACGTGTTTCATCACCCCGTGCACCATATCACCTCGTGCACCACTTTCACCTCAATTCACATCAATCACTTCAATACGCGATTTATCAATAAATAATTATGGTATCGACATTAAATGAACGCGATATCGTTATAGCGATGAAGGCAATGGCTAAAGATAAAAATTTAAGCCTCTGGAAAGCTGTCAAGATTTACAATATTACTCATACGACACTTATACGTAGAATGAAAGAGATCACTCCTGCCTCCGAATATCGTCAAAAACAGTATAAAATTACTAAAATTAAAGAGGAGGTTATTATTCAGCATATAATCGATATGGATGAGCGAGGATTTAGTCCTAAATTCATAAGTGTTGAAAGTATGGCGAATCATATTCTTGAATCGAGGGGTGGAAAGCGTGTTGGTAAACAATAGATATATCGATTCGTAAATCGATACAATATTCTAAAAACGCATTTTAATTGTGTTTATGACTTTCAAAAAGCTCTCTACAAGAATCCTAAGCTTATTAATAAATAGTTTCAACTATTCAAAAATATAAAGGCAAAATATAGAATATAGGAGTACGATATATAGAATTTTGATGAAACAAGCTTTATGATGGGAGTGATATTCTTTAGTATGATTATTACTAATATAGATAGATGTGGCAAAAGTAAAGGAATACAGCCAGACAATAGAAAATGGTCGACAGCGATTGTATGTGGTGATGCGACAGGGGAGAACATACCTCTATATCTCCTTGTTCAAGGACAAATGCACCTAGCCAATTGGTACAACGAGACGGATATGCCTCCCGAATGAATAGTTAAAACTACTATAAATGGATGGACAAATAATGAAACAGGTTTAGAATAGCTAAAGCATTTTGATAAATATACGAAACTCCGAACAAAGGGTATATATCGAATGTTAGTCTTAGATGGATATGAAAACCATGAATCAGGCCCTTTTCAGAACTATTGTATAGAACATAAGATTAAAGCCGTCGGATTACCACCTCATTCGAGTCATCTCACCTAACCTCTTGATGTTAGTTGTTTTAGTATGCTAAAATGTATATATAACAAGCAAATTGAGGGGTATATACAGATGTATATCAATTATATCTCCAAAGTCGAATTCTTTATAATATTCAATATTATATACAAACAAGCAATTACAATAGAGAATATAAAAGCAGGCTTTAGAGGAGCAGGATTAGTCCCTTTTAATCCTGATACTGTACTCTCTAGAATGGATATTCGAATCTGTACACTTACTCCTCCTTCGCTTCCTTCGAGTTATATGCCTGATTGGGTCTCACAAACACCTTACAATACTATCGAAGCTCTTTCACAAGCATTTTTAGTACAATCTATTATTGCTCGGTATTATTCTAGCTCTTTTATACCTATATTTAAGGTTATAGATCCTTTAATTAAGGGTGTAGAATACCTAGCTAGTACTGTCACGATTTTAGCTTTTGAGAATCACGATCTTCGATTAGCAAATATAGGATTAAGTAAACGTCGACACGCTAAAAAGACTCAATTACGTTTAGGAGAAGCTCTCATTATTCAAGAGATTAATGATATTATATCACAAAAAGAGGTGGATGTTCAGATTAAACACGATAGATAACAAAATGGGCGGAATTCTAATAGAGAGGCATCGATTAATCGATGCTGTAGTAAATGTGGAATAACAGATCATAATGCAAGAACATGTTCTAATGATAATATAGATCCTAAATTATTAGATAGTGCTTAGTTTAAATCAATTGATCAAGTAATTGTTGAATTATATATGATTATAAATAGGAATTGAGGTGAAAGTGGTGCACGAGGTGATATGGTGCACGGGGTGATGAAACACGTTATAAAATAAGGAACTTATTGTTAAAGTGAATGGTTTCTGCGTAGCACGTGCACAAGGCACTAGTCCTATTAGGACTAGATTGAGAAGCTCTCTGTAGGAGAGCTTCGCACTTCTGTAGAACTAAGATAATGTGTGATTCATATAAAAGCCCAATATAGCCTCATGTAACGATACTGTACTAAAGGCAGCGGCTGCCTAAGGTTTCGTCTGGTTGGTAGTTGTGGGTCAAGGCTTTATCACTGGTATTCACTTGGAAGTGAAGTCGTTACTAGATCAAGTAGAATGTAGGTAAACTAATTGATAACTAAGTTGAGCACGAAGCTCCTTAACTACCAGACTAAATGAATGTTTATATACCCTATATCATCTTTGAGGACCTCTGGGACCCTAAGGTCCAAAAGGTCCTCGAGGTCACATGAATTAATGAATCGTGACACCTCAGTTCTGCCCTATCAGCTTCCCACTATTCCCTGTGTAAGGTCATTCCTTTTAACACTTATTTAATTATTTATTTTTATTATTCTCCTCACATAAAATGAATTTAAGATATATTCCGTCTTACATTAACACATCATCATTAAAAAAACACTACATTCACTCTTCAAGTCTTCAAATTTTCAAATCCTAATAACAAACTTTTAAAAATTAACTTCAATTTCGTAGCCAGAAGTAACGGCCTTTGTCATCTAAATCTAAAAGATCCAGACTATTTTTTCATCAACATCCCTCCTTTCATTATTAAACCAAGCCAGCAAGTATTATTAATTACCAGCTCTCTCCATTAATTCATCCATATTTGTATCCTAGGATGACACCGACCGACAGTGTAAAGTTTATGCGTGACAAAAAGACCAATCCAGCGCTTCAAGATTCCTTCAAAGGGAAATCGAAAAACCAAACGCATATTTAGTGATCGCTAAAGTTTCAAAAACTACCTCAGGTACCGATTTGATGATGTTCGTTATGCAATGTTCATATCAATATCATATGATGTGAAATGATATGATATAATATGATATCATGCGCACGAAAACAAATCGACCCATTATTAATCGCCTCCACCTTCGACCATCCATCCATTAAGCGGTCAATCTAACCTACATGACCAAAGTAAAACCCGCAAAAACGCCGGCAAAAATAACAGCCAAACCATATGATTTTCCAAAATCCATAGTCATCTGAGCAGCACCGCTCTTAGGAGTAGATGTTGAAGATGATCCACCTAATCCTGTATATGCAACTTGGTTTGTGCTAGATGCTCCTGCTGTACCGGTTGAACTTTGAGTGGCACTGCTGGTGGTATTGACACGAGTTGGGTTTTGAGCTCCGCATGGATGGTCATCTCTGCAGGCTGCTTGGCAGTTATTGTCTCCGTTACAGGCAGCGACGCAGTTGGTGGCGTATTGAGTACAGATGAAGTAAGGAAGGGTTAGAGAATATTCGGATGCATTTGGAGAGAGACCGTTGCCGCAAATACATGCATAGTTGAGGGTATCCTGTTTTTGAGTTAGTTGGACTTGATTTTTAAAGTTTGGAAAGCGGGAAGAGTAGATGATGTACTTACGGGATCACAAGTGTTAGTCTCGGTGCTTGAATCATTTCCACCATTTTGCAAGCAGAGAGATGGACAAGTTTGTGTTTGAGATTGGCACCATGATTCTAGTGTGATGGTAAATATACTTTGTGTGGTGAAAGGTAAATGAAGAGGGAAACTTACTACGAGTAGCCAATGGAACACTTGAGGGGTCAATGGAATATTGAGCAGTTGCAAAGTTAAGCAGAGCAGTAGCAATCAAAGCTGTGGTGATCTTGAAAGAAAGCATTTTGAATTATTTGATGGTGAAGAGGTCGAGGTAGAAGGTTGAAGTTTTCGTACTTGCAATTGTATTCTCGATATGAACTATCAACAAGCAAATAACACCAAAGGTCAGTCTTTGAAATCTTCTCTAGAAAACAGAGATGTTGCTCAAATTTAAAAGTGGTGGCGGGAGTATTTTTCGTTTGCCTGATTCGAATGTGACGAGTAATCAAAGTTTATTTACCTTGCAGGAATACGAAAATGTCAGATATGTTTGGATAGATGTATGTTGATGTTGTTAAGAACTGAACGAATGAATTCCCAAGAACAGTTCCTGATGATTGTTTAAATATCAAAAGCGAATGTGTTTTTTCAAGATACAAGAAGGTGAAAAGGAGAACACAGTAGGTAATAAAAGTACGGGAGAAGATTGAGGAGAAAAGAGGAGATAATCGTCTATATATTCATTCATTCATTCACCTGATAAAAGTAAATTTCCCTTCAATCTACCACACCACCGTGACCCTGGTGATCCCCAACTTATCCAAAAGCGCCTCCATCTGCACCAAGATTAAGCTAGTGTAGAATCCTTGAACACAGGATTAATCCTGTTTGAGTTTAGCTTGATAAATCTCACCAATGAAATGATTCCAATCTGCCTAACCCTTGAGAATATCATTCGAGACATTCTTCACTAGCCTCAATTTATCAATGGTATGGGTACTGACGGTAACTCGATTGAGATTGGTACCGACAGATTGCACAACTTTTTCTCCGAAAATTGTTACTATTTACAGAAATTCCAAGGTTGCTTGTACGGAGTGTGGGTGGATGACTTTCCCTTGGGAGACTGGAGACTTCAATACCGTTGGTGAATGAGGGGAAATCGGGAAACAAATGACTTGCTCTTCGTATTGACTAAACTAGAAGAATGAATTTGTGCATGGACATGGGAATAAGGCGCTTCGATGGGATTCTAGTTACCTGGGCGGCAGAATTAGATATTTGCCTCCATGAATTCCTTTGGATTCTCATCACTACACATCACCCATCCTCATCCTCATCCTCAGCTCACCCATTCCATCCCATTCCATTCTTGAAGTTTACCAACCAACCATGAGCGCTTGATTCATTTACTCGGTCGGTCGGTACCTATTTAATATTTCTATCAAATCACACCGAACATTCTACCTACATGGAATATGGAGCCATATCTCCATTGAATCCATCTCTCCGCCTCGGTACTTTCTACCATTTCATCCCGTCACCTAATCCATCAACCTGCATCCATCTACGGAAGAGAGTACAACCCCTTCTACCCTTTATCCCGATATCCCGTTACCGTAATATGTTGTACCCATCAATCCCTGTGCAACCTGCATCTTTTTGAGTCTCTTTGCATTTTATCCTCCAGAATACTAGGTGGATATCTAACCGTCACACATAAGCTTCCCATCTCCTCATTTACCGAGTAGGTAAGTGTCCATCAGACTGATGTTACATTGAAAAGTGGAGTGTTCTTGTTTGACGAATCGACAGTTGGATATCATAAACTTTATTTTTGATCTTTTTTGTCATTTATCGTATTCGTTGTCTGCATTGGGTAGCCATATCGTATCTGGAGATTCTGTATGGTATGAGATCGGATAGATGCTATGGGTGAATAAATAATGGAAAACTTATCGATATTCATTTGCAATTTAATTACTACTAATTATCTTGGAACTAACCCTTCCTAAGTTCTCAGGTCCCAATAAACCACTCGCATTGATTCGCCAAGTACCGGAGCAGCCCGCAATAACAAAGCGGCGACAAAACTTTTATCTTAGTTCAAAGATTTTGGAGCTGGGGAAACAAGGATGCGTGAATATCGGCTGTCACTAACATCAGCCGGGATATTCTCAAAGTCAACAACACCCTTTTTGGCCACTCGATATCTACCTAGTAGGTATTAAATATCTTTTATTTTCATACGATTATTACATGCGAACATTATTTTCAGGTCACACAAGCACAAACACAAACGCAGCAAGCGGAAGCCAGCAGGAGTGGTACCCCCCGTTTTGAAATAGATGGATGGAGTCCGCTACTACGTCCCATACTAGCAATGGAGATGGCATTAGCAATGGCGCTTCATTAAGTAATCCTAATCCTAATCACAATCCGAATCCTAATCATAATTCCGATCACCCTATTTCCAACAAACCGGAAACCCAGATTACCACCACACCCCAATCCCCCGAACCATCTTCCTCGGCGCTAAATTCAATCGAATCCCCCTCAACTTCACCCATCTCTGCAACAATTCCCCCTTACTGGCAACAATCACAAGCGCGCCCTCTTTCTTATGTTTCGATCGATTCAATTCATCCTAGCGGTATAACGCTCCAGGATAATACCGCAGATGGGGATGAGGAGGGAGATGCAAATGGGAGGGATAAAAATGAAGCTTGTTGGGCGAGGAGTGTAGCCATTGAGGATTATGTGGTTGTAAACGGGAGTGGGATTGGGGGGATGGGAAATATGAGTAAGGGACTTGGGATTGGCGGAAGCATTGGAGGAGGCATTGGTGCATTTGTGGTTTGGAATGTTAGGGTTGATACATTGGAGGTTTGTTTTGATCGTCCATTTTCCATGTCCTCTCTTCTCTTTCTTCATTCTGTACATCTTTTATCCCCTATATTTTTCATAAACCACTTGGATTTGGAATTGGAATCCCTACTTACTTCTCTACTCTTCAAAATAGGGCACTCCAATAATAATCCGCAAGCGCTACAGCGAATTCTCAGATCTGAGAACGAAACTCCTACGTACATTCCCCAATTCCGCGGGCACCATCCCGGAGTTGCCGAGAAAAAGTGTGATATCGAAGTTTAGGCCGAAGTTTTTGGAAAATAGGCGGAGTGGTTTACAGTATTTTCTCAAGTGAGTGTTTCTCTCTTTTTCGGGAGAGGGGAGAATAGAAGAAGATGTGCCAGAAAGGGCACAAGAGTATGAACGAAGGCACATAATCCAACCAGCTAATCATGAGGAATATAGTTGTATATTACTTAATCCCGAATTCTCGAGTTCGCCTGTGTTGAAGGAATTCCTCTTTTCATAAGTCGATAAATCAATGATGATATGAGAGATCAGACGAAGAAGAGATATAATAGCGATTTGTATTGAGCGAGCAAGTATAGCGCTTCATTTTCGTATATGCCGTGCATGATGATATCTGGATATGGAATAAATATCAAGTAAAAGTGAGCAAGTTGTTTATTTATTGGATATTGCTATATATATTTTTTGGAAGTACGAATTTAGTTTTTAGCTATCTTGGAAGAGTGAGGTTTGAGATAGGGGTTGTATGCTTCACGCATTCGCGTTCGAGGGACTGATAGGTCATATTTATCCTATGATGACCCTATGTGATATCTGGAGAGTAGAGAATAACTGATATGGATGAATGAAAGATACATTCACCGGAAAATCCGGAATGCAAATGTAAACGTTGAATTATTAATGTCAATATCAACTTCCCTTTCAGTACAAAACAATCCAGTATCTTGCTCAAGCCAGAAGCAACCCCACATTTCTACATCACGTCATCTACTCTAATAAGTTCAATTAACAACTAACCCCTCTTCACTCACTCTTTACTTACACCTCTTCAACTCACCTCATCTTCATCTATCAGAACCATATCAAAACAACTCAATCCCTACAGAGAATCATAAGAAGAAGAAAAAACACAAGTTTAAGAAAATACCTATCGTCACAAAGCAAACGTAACGTAACGTAATCAAAATGGCCCTCCCACCAAAATTCGCTGGTCAGAAGTTTGTGGCTACGGCTGTGCCGGCGCTGCATACGTTGGAATTGTATTTGGATTATGTTTGTCCTGTATGTATGTTTCTTGCTGTCTTTTGTTTTTGTTTTCTTGTTGCTTTTGGGCTGTGTGGAGTTGGTTGGTGTATCATTGATACCTTGTTGGCTTAGGAATTGGATGGATTTCTTTTCACTCTTTGACTGTTTATTTTTTTTCTCTTGACGCCGGTAGCATACATTCTTTATGCGGAGCTTTTTCCTGCTCAGCATGTTTTGCCCTTTTTTTATGTGTCATTGGATTGATTCGGTGTTGTTGTAATGTGACCGTTGTTTGCAAAGAAGTCGATTTACTCAGTGGTAGATAGCTTGATCGTGATCATGGGAAGGGGAAGGGGAGAGGTCAATTGACTTGAGGAATTCCTAAAGGTCTTGGAGGTTTATTTATCTTGTTTCTCTTCTGTTAAATCTCTTTTTTTACGTCTCTTTCTTTGCACTACAATCCCTTCCCTTTGCTACTTCCGGCCCTCATATCTCATTCACATCATATCCAAACTCAATATACAGAATGACTAATAAAATAACCCATTTCTTCATAGTTCTCGGCCAAAATGTTCAATACAGTCTACACATCCGTGATCCCCCTTATCAAACAAAAATACTCTTCCAAAGTCCAAATTATCTTTCGTCAACAAATTCAACCTTGGCATCCAAGTAGTACATTAGTCCACGAAGCTGGCGTCGCTGGTAAGACCATGTCCTCACTTTCCCATAACTAACAACTAACCCACTTCCTCAGTACTCGCCCTCTCCCCTCAAAATTTCTACCCTTTCTCCGCCTCCCTCTTCAAACAACAAAATGATTTCTTCGACGTAAATGTTGTGAATGAAACACGCAATGCAACATATAAACGTCTATCGAAGATAGGAGGAGAAGTAGGAATTGACGAGGAGAAAATGTACGATCTTTTGAAAATAAGTGATAAGCCAGGAAAAGATGGAGCACTTAATTCGGGAAATGGTGTTACGGATCAATTGAAGGTTTTGGTGAAGATGAATAGGTTGGTGGGTATTCATGTTACACCGACTGTTGTGGTGAGTGCTTTTCTTCTTTTTTGTGATTTGGGTGTGTTTGGGAGGAGCTCGGAAGGAAGGGGCGGAAGAGTGATATGGTGAAGAAGTACTAATTCAGATTATTATAGTTCAATGGTGTAGTAGAAAACTCAATCAGTAGTTCATTCACCGCCGAGCAATGGGAAGAATGGTTGGACAAAAATGTTGCATAAGAGTGTGGCAGGAATAGTCTTTGCTTCAAAAAGTAGAGTAAGTCAGTAGCCATAGCCTTGGAAGTGGAAAATTGCCACTGGAACTTACGGGTAGAGAAAATAGTACTTGATGAGACTTATTTTACAATTCTAAGCGTGCATTTGAGAGATAAATTCTCCCCTGTCCCAAAAGAATCCGTATATACTACACTACGTTATGCTATATTACTCCATATTTCACTAAACTGACTTCTTTACTATAAAGAAAGGAAAGATCTCTTGTAAGAACAGTGATTCTAAAACTAAAATTAATAATAACCCTCTTTCTTAGGCTACACAGAAATTATCTACAATTTGTAGATATCCATAGATAATCCGCCCCGCCGATTATCCATTAGGATTTTAAATAATTTGTTTTGGATTATTTATAGATCACTTATTCAGATTTTCTTATTATCTGTTTTATAAACAGATTATTCACAGATTTATCTATTAAAGCAATAATCTGCCCCGCGTGTACTCGCTGCACAGGGAAAGAGGGAGAGATATTGAGGGGTTGAGTAGAATATGTGTGAGGGGGAAGAGCGGAAGAGGGGAAGAAGAGGGAGAAATCATGTATGTGCAATGAGCATTTAATATTTGAATGGGAAAACTCGGCGTGTGTGATGGGGGAAGACGAGTGTGGATGGATTATAAAGGGAAAGGAGAAAGGAGAGACGGGGGTGTTTGATAACATCATAGACACACTCATGTATACCCGGAAATCTCGAGTGTTTCAAATTGAAGGGAAGTGAGAGGCGAAATGTAGGCTGACATCTTGTCCTACATGATGCGCAGTGTATATATAGCAAAATACGTATATATGTCAAGCATAATGGGCGCAGCTACATATTGTTGAAGTAAATTTTTGGTTTTCTTCGTATCAAGAAATGGGAGGATTCAAGGAGTGAGTATATCGAGTATTTGAGTAAGTGAGAGGTTTCATTGCTACATTTGGATTTTTTGAAAAGTTTTTATTGACTCGAAGGTTTAAGAAGGATGTAGATAACCGTAAGATATTTAATGAAAACTTTAGAATCATATAGCTTTCGACTGTGAGATTTGAGATTTGAACCTTCCATTCTCACTCCCGTTTTTTCAACCCTTATATAATACTAAGAGCCAGGAGGGGAGGAAAATGTGATATATTAGTAAGAAAATTAACCACTTGGATATTCATCCCTGAAGGATTGTAACTGTAACACGAGGAAATACTGGTTACGCGCGTTTATCTTTGCTTTAGAAACAAGCCACTTATGAGCATGCCCTGGATCTTCAAGCAGATTTGAAGCTGCCAAGGGCTTTTCCGTATGCTTATGGCACAGAATACGGAGGCATAAACGGGCAGAATCTTGGAGTTTTGCTGTTAGTTTCGAGGCTTGGAGAAGCTTGGAAGTATACAATTATATCCTTCTCGAATGCTGGATAATGTCGTGTGAATAGGCGATTGTGAATTTGGATATATCAAAAGTCGTAAATTTGAAAAGGATGAATGAATGCCAAATGTAATTTGTGACGATGAGTACGGATGTAGGAGTTCATTTAACATGCTGATTTTCGATGGCAAGGAATCTTTGGAACGGTAATGTTGCTTTAATCTTTTAATGTCGATTTTAGTTGCTGGTAGTTGTTAGTTTATCTTAACTCTAATCGTGAAAACGTGGTAGAGTAGTATTTTTGACTAAATAAGGTACGGACCGGATGGTTCGTTCGTACGGAGTATTGAAGATTGAAGATTGAATATATATTCAACTGCTGTGGTTGGCCAATTTATTAGTCATCTATGAGTGATCGACCTCGCTTACAACCTTAATTTAATTCATTGCTCCAAAATATTATCCACCCATTCACCCCCTTCATCAAATTTCCCTCTTTCGTTCACCGTTCACCCATTTTCATTTATAGCCGACAAAAGAAATTTTATTAAGGATCCATAACTTTCAGGCAAGCTCTTTTTCGTGTTTCATATTTGTGGTTGTCTTCTTACTTAATGTGCCCTATGGGTCTGAAGTTCAAGCTAAGCGCGCTTATCAAAATCCTCCTGTTAGACATCTCTCACAAATATGAATTCTGGGTTCAAAGGTTTATGAAATTTCTACTTCCCCATAATATCTTCAAATTAAATTAGGAAATGGATTCGGTTTAGATCTTTATATAACCAGTGTTGATCAAGAAATTGAGGATGATAGTCAACCTACCATTCTGGGGAATCGGGAGATAAATGTGACAGGGCTAGGTTTATGAGACCCATAAAATCCTTTCACGTACAATATCCATGTTGGTTTGAATACAAGGCCAGTTCTGCTCCTTCACCTTATTCTTGCACCCAGCTTTTCTTGAGACCTGGTTGATCATTCTTTCTTTTCATTCATTCTCTCGTTTTTACCCAAAAAATCGGCGTCTATAGTCTAGAAGCACCTGATTATCGCTACTTGTTTTACAAATTGATTTTCAATTAATATATTGGAATAGTAAATTCAGACTGGTTTAGGTCAAGTCTTTCGAAACCCTCCATATTTTATTGTGCTAGATACTCAGCCTTGTTGAACTTGAGCTGTGCTGTGCCACACTCATATCATCCTTATTTCTTCAGCATTAACTTTGCGAGCATTTCCCCTCATTCCTTTTGACCTACCCATACGGACCTCACTAAAATAATGCCTTCACGAGTATCAATAAGGAAACAATTCCTCTTGTTCTGTTCTTTCTCTTTACCTTTATTAGCATCAGCTTCAACAACAGATACACCAACAGCATGTTACGTTATCAATGGACAACATAATGCCGATGCAGGATATAGATGTGATAATTCAACAACGGGTCATAGTACATGCTGTCAAGCTGGTGCTATATGTTTTTCAAATGGTGTTTGTCAACAGGCAAATGGAAATGTTCAAGATTATTTAAGAGTAGGATGTACAGATCCTACATGGAAAGATCCAGCTTGTTTAAATCAATGTACTACTTGTAAGTCATGTGAAGCATATTATTAAGTTAGAAATACTAACCAATTCATAGATGCTAGACGTTCAACTGCCGGTATAAGATTTTGTAATGGAGCTATTACATCAACAACAGAATAGTATGTTCTGTCGATTAACGGATTGTGGGATTTTCAATACTGACCGAGAAACAGCTGTTGTGATACGGGGGCCTATGGAGTAGGAAGTTTTGCTTGTTGCGAAAATGACTCAGATATCTTCAATATCTCACCTGTTGCCACAGTGCTAGCCCAAATTCCCTTTACCTACACCTCATCATCAACATCGTTCACATCATCTACCTCATCCACATCTACCTCATCCACATCTACCTCGTCAATATCTTCCACATCCACCTCTTCAATTTCAACTTCCATTACAACATCCGGTTCAGACATGGCCACAACCTCAACCGCCTCTCAAACATCTGCTGCACCACTTCCCTCTGTAACCTCAGCGTCCTCTAGAAACGCGGCCGCCATCGGAGCCGGCGTCGCCATTCCATGTGCTATCATTGCTCTCGCTATTTTGGGATGGCTTCTCTGGAGAAGAAGGCGCGCGCAAAAAGCAAAATCTGATCAAATCCTTAAAAATAATGAAGCAGGATTCTCAGCACAAGGATATCCGATTACAGAAGGAGCATATAACACACAAGCACAAGGAGGATATTCTCCAAGTGAAATTGGAACGGGATATGATAGGGGATATTTGGGAGAGGCCGGTGGGATCGGGTTTGCAGATAAGAAGGGTTATTTTGCGCCGCTGCCGACTGAGATGGATACGGAGAGGACGGTGCATGAAATGGACGGAGGACATTTTGGGGGAAGATAATGGTTTAGGAGGAGGTGTGTTGTGAAAATAAAGTTAGGGTTTTAGGTTTGGGGTGGATAGATTAATTGAGGAGGATATGCCGGGTTTATTCCGACGGAGGAAAATTCGATACGACTCTGGAAATGAGAGGGAAGATAATGAGGAGTGTAAATTCAAGCGTCCGGTGTCGTTATTCATGATCGATATATACACGACACGCTTCGACTTGAAATGAGACGGCTGACGAGATAGAGATGGAACGAAGTTGTAAATTGACACGCTGAGCGTCACCTTGCACGCGTGTCTTTTGTATTCTTATACACAGTATTCCGGTTCGATTTACATTGCATCATGAATTGGCGAAACGCACAACGGTGTATATCATTTTAAGCGCTTTCATGATGGGATGGGGTTTTATGACTAGCCTAGTCAGGTACTGTTGTTGTTTATATTCGTGGAGATAGGCTTGTGGATTAAACTTTTTAATATATATCTATCCCTTTGTATCTTTGATGTGTTGAGTTCTGGTTGAGAATTTGCAAGGGATAAGCGAGGTGAATATGTGAATAGGAGAATAAATACTAATTTTGTGTAAAGACGAGAAGGACGGGGAGGGAATAGGAGAATGATGACCGTGAAAAATAAATGTAGCACGAGATTTGAGTAAATCTATATCAATTCTTAGATGGGAAATCCCCCCTTTCATGCAAAAAATATCGAGGTTCTTGGATTTGAAAGGTTAGAAGGAGATGATGATTGCATATCCTGGAGTATTGGAAGTAGATTTTCGGAGCGAAGCTGAGAAAAATTGAGGCTGATTGATATTTTCGGGTGGACTTTCTGACAAGTTTGGGGGGTGGTCCTTGGTGTTGGCTTTGTTGTTATTGCGCTGTGATTTTGTCTGATCTTCTCTTTTATTGTCTGATCTTAGGAGTTGTGTATATCTTCATCGGGATATTTACCTCATTTCACGTAGTAATTATAGTTTCTTCCGGATACTATGTACAGAAAAGCTCCACGCAATCAGTTTATATTTCCTAATGCAGTGCTGGCATTATATATTCTTATTGAAGGAGACGATATTAAGGAAATTAGGAAAAAGGATTTTCTCCTTCAATTGTAATAATTGATAGATTTAGCCGAAGAACCAGGCAGGTTATTTAAGCTGTTGAAATTGGATTGGGCAGCTTTAGCTTTAGTCAATATAATATCTAAGATACTATTAAAATGGAGTGTGGGACACTATACTTGGAAGCAAGAAAGAAGATAGAGTAGCGGCGGGTAAATGGAGAGGATAGGGGGATGAAGCGGGGAGTTGGCGAAAAATGTGACAACGGATATGTATGTAAATGCAGCTTTCTTCTCCCGCCAAATTTCTGCTTTAAAAATTTCATTTAAATAAACATCATAGGCGGTTAAATAATGGGATCCCTTGAGTAAGTTACGTGTACTGTGTCCAGCAGCAACCATTAACTGTATGCTGTGTAGAACGGATAAATATCCGAAATTTGCACAGCAGCGTCACGGCTTTCATGTAGATTGTTTCGCTGTCTCATTAGTTTTTCTTTTTTTATGGTTTAATCTCCTACGGTTAATGAGCATGATTTACACTATCACATATATTTCTTCATCTATTGTGATTTTCATTGTCATGCAATCTCCATCTACAAAGATTCGGAATTCACCTCAATGAGGCAATTCAAAGTATATAAAATGTAGATTACTTGGCTTTTGATCTCTTATTCCTGTTCTTAAAATCAGCAGCATCACTATGTGGCTATTGTAAAAGCAGTGTGAGGTAAGGTTCGTTGCTGTGTTTTAAGGAGGAAAATGTAAGATAGATTGGAGTTTATAGAGTTGGATAGACTTTTTGGATAGGTTTATAGAGGATGAAAGTGAGTGGATTTTCTGGAGTTATGTGGAGAGTGTTAATGCAGCGGAGTACGCTTGGAATGAGTAAAAAGAGAACATAAAAGGAAAAGGAGAAAACATATTGAATAATATAAAGGCAATTGCGAAGAATACGCAGGGCGCTGTATTCTTAGAGAGGAATCCGGATCAGTATTCGAGAGATCGTCGTTTCTGGAAAATTTTTATGGTTTGCCCAGATCAAAATCTTGTATTTTCGTCATAGTTCTTTCTCTCGAGGTTTTCTTCTAACCTTGTATTGTTGTTTTCATCGAATATTGCTTCTGACCCGAGTTTACTGTTATTATTATCCAAATCTAATTCTAGACATCAAAATATTTGAAGTTTTAGTTATGTTGTCGTAATTATACAAGAGGTTTACAGTAAGTTGATGTAGTAAATAACGATTAATTTGAGACTAGAGTATAATTTTATCTTTACATCATTAAAGAAATCCTAATGGTAAAGAGTGTATGATATCTTATATGAAAAGGAACTGTCCGGTGTGAAGGAAATGGTCTTTATAATTTAGCTACGAGGTTGTGAAGAGCTTTGGATCAGTGATTGGTGGATTCTAGATTCGGTGAGTTCTGACAAAGGTCCGCGTTTTGAAACTTCCTTTTCTTGGAGTTTGATGAAAGGAAGCCCGAAGAAAGGGGGAGAAGGTATATAAGCGCATTATCACTTCCAATTTTTAAACTGATACTAGATACGAGTTGAAGATTTCCCGCTCCAATTGCTAGGGATTTAGATACTGAGTAGACAACTCAGCTCATCGACTTGGTAATAATTAGAGTCTAAGAATAGAATCATTTGGAAATATGGTGTGGAATTTTGATAAATTTGAAATTATGGTACTTACAAATACGTTATCATCGGTGTCATTTGTTTTTCTTTTAGTTTTGCTGTCATTGACATTATTCGCTATCATCGAAACTTTGTATCAAAAGTTCTGAGCGACATCTCTCCTGCAAGCTACTCCTTTAGTAATAAGTATATTTTCGACCCAAGAGAGTGAGTTCTCAAGTCTGTTTGTTCTCGGATTATACACCATCACTGGCCATCCCCTTAGCTTACATTAAAACTCATCTTATTGATGTGTCATCATAACTGGATATGGAGAGAATTTTATATAGTCTAGTAAGTGGGACTAGAAACCTAGGCTTCTTCTAGGAAGCAGGATATAAGATCTTACTTCAAGGTGAATTCCAGCGACAAATTCCATGACATACAGAAGAAAGGGTAAGGAAGTAATCAGTCTTTGGGCTTGATATATAGACCTCCACCTTAAACCGCTGAATTTCTTCTCATATTTAAAGTAAATGCAAAGACCCTAACATGAACTGGGGTTTGAATTCCATTAGAAGTAGTTTTGAGGTCTCAAAAAGTCTCAAAATACGAATATGAGATATTCTAACAAGAGAAATCTAAGCGGAGACCTTTTGCTCGGAGAGAACTTGATCGATTACAGTTCAATTTTTTAGTTTTTACAATTTTGTTTTTTTTTTTGTTTTTTGAGTAGTTCTTTCAGTAACACCAACTCAACTTACCATGTTCATTTCCCTTCTTCTGATAACTTCACGAATGCATTTAGTTATCCAGTCATCCAAGTACTCCACGCATCTTTTCCTACTCAAAATACTTTATTGATCTAAGACATCTCACATAAAAAGACTCAAGCACATCTCTAATGGTTCTATGTAATCTAGCTACCAATATTTTCTCCACCTTTGACTCCTCTCCTCTCCCAAATTCCCCTTTAGTTGCCTCTCTTTCCACTACGTAAACAATCTCCACAATATAAAAAAGCACTTCCACTCAATAAATACAAAATCAAAACATGTATTTACTCTCATGAGAGGATCTTTGAGGTTTGGAAGATTTGTTTGTGGGAAAAGTATTTGGGTTTCGGTATACACATAGAAGGATAGAGCCAGGAAAAGGAAAAAGAAGAGAGACCATGGGAAACGGGAGAGTGGATAGTGGGATAGTAGAGATTAAAGACAATGATGATATTGAGATAAAGGTAGCAGTGATAATAATTCTGAAAGACAGTATCAATCACAGATTATAAATCTTTAATCACCACAAAGCCTCTTCCTTCAATCTACAATGCTAAAAGAATAATACAATTCAAACTCTTTCCAGCTTACCTTACCGATATACACAGCTATTTCACCTCCTATA